TGAAGCCGGCCTCGTCCGGTCAATTGGCGTCTCAAACTTCAACAAGGCTCAACTTGATCGAATTTTGGCCATCTGCAAAATACCTCCGGCCGTAAACCAAATTGAGACGTCCGTGAATTGGCTATATCAGAAGCATATCGACTATGCCCACTCAAAAGGCATTCATATTATAGCCTACGGTCCTTTGGGTTCTCCGGAAATAATGAAGTAAGTCCCTCCTCAGAACCAGACGCTGATTAGCCAATAATTTCGTACATATATTTGCTTCACATAAATAACAACCAAATAGATGTGTTCGGTTACTATTGTATGAATCCGAACTGAGCTCAAACTCGTTTCTGCATGCGTCAACTAGGAAAGAAAAGGGGTTCTTATCTAATTAAATGCCAGGCATCTAAACAAGCCAGATAAAGTCGATTGAGATGTTTGGTTCCGGTTTCTGGGAGAGAGAAGACCAATCGGCCAGAGAGAGAGGGTGCATACTCAGTCCAAGCGTTATAGAGAAAGTCAATCTTATCACAGACTAGATAGCATTTATCCAGTCCGCTCCATGAGCAGGGGTCAGCGACATGGAACCAATCAGCTAAAAATCGATAGCCACGGCGCGCTCTCATGACAGCGGACTCGTGGGCCTTTCTGTAAGATGAATGATCGTGGGAATGGGCGCATTCCCAACGGGTACTTACCGCCTTTTGACGGTAATCCCCGGACTTCTTCACGAGTGTAAATCAGGCTACTTGTTTTGTCCTTCGGGAAATGTGGCCTGTCTAAATTCGCGGACAAGCATGGGAGTCCGACAGACGAATATATTTTTCTATCATTCAGTCTGTCGTCCCTGTGATCAACGATAAAGGCTTGTCGTACATAGACCAAAAATAGTTATGCTACATTTATTCCTGAATAGTATATTTACCCCAAAACATGGTAAAGGGCTAGGTAAGGAGCAGCGGATTATATCTCATAACCGTAAAGGAAAACCAATTCATTGCTTTTATTGCAGGACGCGTTACAGCGGAAGACTATGTGGCGAAGAACGTGCACACGAGCGTTAGAATCATGAGCGTTAAGAATAGACCAAACAGGGATGTAGAACAATTCCCGGAATGTGTTAAGGCAACTTTCTGG